CACACACACACACATTGAAAAAAAAAACAATATTACAATTTTCTCTATCATCGTAGAATAATATCGAAGGCAATTTTGCAATTAACATCTGGCACATTACCACATTAACGACGTATAATGAATGACACGAATGAATGAATCAATTTAAGGCGGCAGAAAGATAACTACAATTTTATTAGCTGCGTCAATAAAGTTGCAGTTAAATTTTATTTCATACGAAAGCAAAATTTTTGCCAATTTTTTTAACTATCTACCTTATAATTATATATTTTTTCACGCAACTGTAATCGTCAAATACAAAGATTGAAGCGAAGTGAGACGCCGTTGAATTTCCGGCAGCGAGACAAATTAAATTGTGTAGAAAACGTAAAGAGACGCAAGTACGCGTCAAAAATAATAGTCGTAATTAGGACAATTATTCGATGCAGCCTTTCTTATAGTTGTCGTACATGGGTAACTCGTGACAATAAGCAGTGCGTATTTTATGAATTTCTACTGACAATGAGTGTTGGATTTAAACTTACTGAAAAACTCCAAACTGTAATACGAATGAGACTGTCCCTATAATTTTCCCCCCTCATAATTATAAAAATTTCATTATTAAGAAGCAAAGTATAGTGCAAAGTACATAAGTATAAAAATAAAGATACAATCATACATTCTAGATATTTTAATTAAAGAGGAAATAAATTATTTATATTACATTAAAAATATTCTTTAATACAAAATATAGCAAAGAGATATTATATATAGCATTTGTAACAATCTAGCATTAGCAATCTATTATACATATTTATAGATATATGTGAATCTACAACCTTCACTAGTTTCTTCGCATTGCGACAGAGAAAAATTCTTCGCGACAAAGACATTTCAGATAACATGCTCGGTAACCTGAATCTCACAGATTACAAGATCCTCTTACATCCCCGTACATCTACGTGCTATGTGCTAATATTAGATTACAATCTACTTAGTGATTCTGAATGTAACTAAAGGGATTCGATATTATATTGTACAATCTCCATCAATCTCGGGATATGAGAATGATATTTTCACTTACAATCAGATTAAGGAGCTGTTTAACCCTTAACAATCATGAACAACTGTAGCATGACTACTGCAGTGTCGTTGCGCAGCTTTTTTAGTTTTTATGTACAAAACCATGTACAAAACCAGGATTGTACAAAGGGTTTTTGGGGCCTTACCTGTATATAAATTTCATATTAAAAAAATTTGAAGTTTTGAAAATAACAAAAGAGTATAATTAAAATTTTTATAAATTTTTACAGAGTATAATTACAATTTTTATTAACTTTACAATATAAACTTTACGGTATAATTAAAATTTTATAAATCTTTAAATTGTAATAAAAATTTTTATAAATTTTGATGTATAATACAATTTTATAAGTTTAGTTTTATAAATCAAAAATTTTTCTTTACCCAACTATTGATTAAGAAATCAAAATTACAGTCTTTAATTATCTTATTTTCAATAGAAAGCATTGCTGCACAAGCATTTTTTAGCTTCTCTTGCCCCATTATGGAACGTAAATATGATTTTATCAATTTTAATTTATTCTGAAACTTCTTTTAGCAGATGTCATAGTTATAGGTAGAGTAAAATATATTTCTAAAGCTATGACTATATTTGAGAATTTTTTCCTTCCAGATTATTTTTTATTATACATATAAAGTAATAATTCTTTCCTTTTCTCGGTCTTTTCTTGATCATTTTCTGAGGGCCCGTTAGCATTGCAGAGGGCCCGCACCCTCAGCATCCCTTCCTTTGCACGGCTCCTTTTACAAAGCTTACACAACGACACTGTAACGCTACAGTTATAATCGTTACGAGTTACAGAATAGGCCCTTAATCATCGATATCATTACAGTATCACGAAAAATAATGTTTAAAGTGGAACTGAGGTTTGCGAGGTAATGTTGAAACGTCACGATTATTTTTACTTACCTGCATGGGACTACTTTGATTATCCACTTTGTCAATACCATCCACCGGTTGTTGGGGCCCGCCCAGTAGTGCCGTGAGGACTCTCAAACCCACGGAAAGCAGATTGGTCCACGGACTCACAGTCGTGCCATCATCTATCTCATTTTTGCTGGGTCCGGCTACACCTCCGGTCTGACCTAGCAGCATTTGCATCAGCATTCCTAACATATTAGACCATGAAAAACCGCTGCTGCTACCTTCCTGCATAGAAACACCAAAGAATATCACTATATGATATAGTGGAGAAAAAGCAAACAAGTTGCTGAATTTTGATATATACATATCTATATTACAAGTGTAATGGAAAACCGAATAACATTTATTCCTTCGGTTTCTAGATATATTATTATGATTGTATTGCATGTCTGACGTAGTAATATAATAATTTAATTAAATTCAAAAATTATAATTTTAAATAAGGCTCTAAACGGATACAATTCAACTAAACAAATCAGAGCTAAAGGAGCTACGTTGAATTTATGTATTATACTAATAATCAATAAAACATCATCTTTAGTAATGTTTATTATTATAGTTCTATTATTATAGTGTATAAATTCTAAGTTAGTCAATTAAAATCAATTATCATGTCACTTGTTCAATTAATTATCACAAATTATTCAAAATTAAAATAGATAATATTATCTCAATCCTTGATCCGAAACTCCGAATAATTTATGTTTGCAATCGTTGTTATTTAAACATCTAATAGCGAGAACGCACATAATACGTGTAATAAATATGAGAGGATAGAAAACATTAAATAGGGGACAACTTTAAATTAAATTAAATTAATTGTTCGTGCTCACGTCTGAATCTTTTACCTGAATTTGATTAGTGCTAATATCCTCGAGATCATCGATCGCCACTTTTTTCATCGCATTTGGTTTCTCAGCGAATTTTCTCTCCTCTCTGACCTGTTGTTGTTGATACTGTTGCGGGTATTGCAACGTGTATTGAGAATGTTGCGGTAATGTCGCGACTTGTCCCAAGACAAGTGCGATCAAGCAGAGCGATATGTGTTGGTTATATTGCATTCTGTAATATAAAAAAAAGACATTTTTGCTAAATTTTTAATTGTAACAGTATAATTTGTAAGAGTATCTGTAAATTAGAATGAATTTCTTGCCAAAAGGAGCTTTCACCATATCATTTTTAGCATAATTTCTAATCTGTAAATATTTATATAACGTGAAAATTACAAATATTCTTTTCACAACCGGCGAATGATTCCGGTTCACTGATATACACATTCTCTGCGTATATCACAAAAGTCACGTGCATGCGCGCATGGATTATTAATTATCAGGGGGATTAGGAAATGAAAGAGTTACTACAATATTATTCCATTATTTTTTCTGTTACTTTTTATAATAACAATTTAATAATGACGTTGTAATTTTTTATGATTATAATAAATATGATTAACTAAACGCTAAAATTGCGCTAAGATTGAGAAAGTCACTTTGAAAAATCACTCGCATCATTATACATTTACCAACTGAAAAAGATAATTTGTAACAAGTAATGAGTAACGTGACCTTTAATTGTTACAAGTAACAATTAAAAAGTAATGAGTTACAAATGCCGAGTTAATTTTGTCAGCAACGAGTGACTTTTCCAACGCTTTACAACGATTTAGTAACGATCGAGTGACTTACCAACCCCGATGTTACCCATTACAGTTATAAAAAAATTCGTCATCGCCAAATCATTGTTATAACAGAGTAACGATAAGCGTAACAGCGTTACAAGTAACTAGTACTACTTCCATTCTCTGATTATTATGCATATATCACATTGACATAATCGAATGTATATTTATATAAGAGGTACTAATTATATAAAAATTTTGTTAGAAACTTTAATGTTTATAGAATAATATATAGAGCGATGACTTGATTTTGGAAACTCAGCAGAAAAAGATATACAGAACGAGGTAATTCAGGGTGATTCAGAAATGAAAGTATGTTGCAGCAGTTGAAACGATGATTCTAACAAATAATGATGGAGTAATTCAATTGATATTCAAATGTATTTCTTTATGTGTTTCATATTGTAAGATTAAAATTTGCGCAAGTAAAATAAAAATCCTTCGATAATATCATACAAAATTATAATTGCTTCGTAATTTTTTTCCCACCATCAAAAAATACTGATCAAAACTAATATGATTATTATCGTATTCTAGAAAAATAACAACAATATTTATGGATACTGTTGAAACGTGAAAATAAGAAATTGTCTGTTTTCTTTTTAAAGACAATACATAAAATTGCATATGATAATTATTTACAGTAGATTGAATCTTAAATATTCAATTTAATTGCGAAATAGAATACAGATAGTGAATAATAGAATTTATAAGAATAAACGATCGACGACGAGCTTCACCTTGATCTTTAACAGAACAAGAAACGGAAGCGATTGAATACATATTGCGGGCATAGTAACAGAGTGCAAGCCGAGAATGTTTGTACGATGCTGCTGAAAGTGTGCCACAATGGTTAAGGTCGCCTCGACGGTAAGCATGCCGATCGCTCGTTAGCCCACTTGCCAATGGCATGCCGGTACTGGTTTGTTGAACCCGACAAGTACCGTTACTCCAAAAGGCGGTCACGACCTACTGCCGATCGTAGCAACGACCGGTTCTCGTGTCCGCCGAAAAAAATAAAAAAATAAAACTAAAATAAAATAAAAAAAAAAATACAAGAAGAGAAGTAATCGGTGCGATGATCGAGGAAGTCCGCAAGTAAAATCCACAAGTAGTAAAGTCAACAGCATCTATCTTACGAACGTCTTCGGAAACTTTTCGCATGATCTCTTCACTTTGTATAAATAATAACATCATTGAGAAATACTTCTCATTGATCTATAAAATTCATAAGTATTAAGTGAAAAAAAATTTGTCCTATATCAACTCAAGTAGTATGAAGCGTTAAAAAAGTGCTAAAAAAAGTATATAGCGCTTCTTTTAGCGTTTTCCAGACGCTGCTGTGCTACTTGAGACAATTTTTTTATATCGAAAATTTTTTTAAATATTTTATTCATGTTTTTATATTATTGTTACACTAACTATTTTTCCTGAAAGCTTCGATTTTCAACTTTGAGCTAACTGTAGAAATTAAAGAGCATTCAAGGAAAAATGACGTGTCTATCAATGTTCAATGCGTGGAGAGTCTTCATTCTATCCAAACATTTTTTATTTAAAATTTGAAAAAAATATTTTCAATTAATAAATATGTTTTTAGAAAAGACGATGTTATTATTGACATTTAAAATTAGTGCTTAAAACGATCATGCTAATATCTTTTATAGATGATGATTTTATCGTCAATTTATAGATCATACATAAATTTGGTTTATAAACAAAATGATGCTATCGAAAATGATGAATTAAATGATATTAATATCGGTGACGATAAAGGTAACAAAGTGACGATTGTGAAAGCAATGAGAAAGATTGCTCTCACTGACGATGAGAAACGATGCACGGCGCACCTTTGGAAAACGGTACACGTCACGGTGAAAAAATTACAAAACAAGTTTCTAACTGTATCTTTACACCTGGCGACAAACATTTTCTACTTAGTTGCACGCGATAAATCTGGCGTAGAAAAAAAATTTGCAAATATCTCTCATGAGGTCATTGGGAGTGGTTCCGTAATGACAATTCCTAGTGACGAAAATTAAATCAGAAAAATCATTTCTAGAAAAAAAAGGTTAACACGTGATAAGAAACATTCACGTGTTATGTAAATATTTTAAATGAGAGAAACGTTCAAAAGAATTATTCTAATTTTAATTGCACTGTTCGCAAGAATGAAATAATTTTTTATTAATCTTTAAGACGCGAAGCTTGATAAATATATCCGTTTATTATGCAAGTATATCTATCAAGTAAAAGAAACACAGGGCTAATAACTATTAACTGAGATAACAAATAGATTAATTATATTAAATAATAATAAAAATAATAATAATAATAAAATATAAGAATTGCAAATTGCAAATTAGATTTGATTTAAATA